ATTAACATTCATTTCTTTGTATTTGTTGCTAAATAATAAATAATTCAAAAGCATTCTTGTGGCTTTAAAGCTTTTAATCGTTTAAAGGCAAATTTTGCATTTTTTATTCATTTCATCTCGTAAAAAAATGGATTTCAATAAATATCTTCCCATCGATATTGATATTGTTGCATTTATATATATTTTTATTTTAGCTAAATAATAAAATTAAGAGAATTATAAAGGAAAAAAATAACAAAATTCTAAGATCATAAAGGATATAAATGATATAAAAAATATAAATATATAAAAATATAAATAAAAATAAAAATATAATAATAATAATAAATAAAAAATAAAATAAATATAATAAAAATAACAAAATAATAAAAATTATAAATAGTAAATGTTCTTTCCGATGAACCTTCATTTTAGCTAAAATAAATATTTAAACAGTAGAGATAGTGGGAAGCCACCTTTACTTCTATCTCCAAGTCTCACTGCAAGGCATCTCATCTCAGCAGTCGGTGGATATCAAATTAGAAAGGCTGCATGCTTTTAGAAGAAACAAGGAATAAACATTTGAAAATATACATACTCATTCTTCCTACTTCATCATATCAAACGATGAAAAAACTAGTATTGCCCAGTTTTTCACTCAAAAAATATCAGAAAAATTAAAATTATAAAGAATAGTAAATCTTTTTGCTGCTTGTACTAATATATATTTGCTGCTAAATGCGAATTTCAATCCCTTTCTTTTGCACATTTAGAATATTAGCGGATGAAATCAGATTTTGACAAGAACAATGAATAAATAGAATAAAAATTTAAAAAAATCCTATTAAAATTAAATTAAAGATCTAATAAAACCAGACGAGCCACATTTTTCAAAGTATAACATATAGAATATAACTTTCTGTTTTGCTGATTTCTTTGAGCAGATATGATATATATATATATATAATGTAATATAATATAATAATATAATATAATATCATGCGCACTTGCGATTTATGATTTATTTCCAGTAAATCTAAATTTTCAATTACATAAAGAAAAAATTGCAAATGTTCAAATCATGGAAAATTTAAAAGAAATAAAAGCATGGAAAATTTTAAGTTATTAAAGTTTAAAATTATTAAAAATGTATAATTTCTTTAGTGAAATGATAGTAGTTTTAATAAAATTATGTTTAAATTTGGTTAATTATTTTATTACCTGCTAAACTTACTTTCGTACTATAAATGATCACGATTTTTTCTTGTAAATGATTTTTTATAAAATGAAGATTGTCTTATTTTAATATTTCAATACTTCACAGAGTTACTATAAAAACCATTTGTCAATTTCAGATTTACAAACTACTTTTTGATATGAAATTAAGAACGATCTTATATGACAATAAATGACAATCAACAGCTTATGAAATTACCGCTTATACTATTAAATCAACAATGAGCTATTTGCTCATTGTATAAAGAAGCAAATACTATATGAACAACGCACTCGATTCTAGTTAGATTCATGACAGTTCCACAAGCTTTGAAATTGTATGGTAAAGTCGCAATCTTGATTAACAAAGGTAATCCTAAATATTATAAGCATCCCTTTAATTTTTTTTCTAATTATTATTTTATTATTGCTTATAGCACAGCATTTTGTTTTTGTTTTTTAAATTCTTGGTTCAGTAAATAAAATAAATATATATTATAAATATAAAAGTTAGTGGTTTAAATTTTTCTTTCCAATAATATTAATTTTTATGCAAATATTCTTTTTTCTTCTTTATAATTCTGATGAACTCTAAAATAATAAAATATTTTTTGAGAACTATTCTAATCATTAAAATTTCAACCATTTACTATGATTCTTTCCTTTAAAATAAATAAATAATGCCTAAAAGAATAAGAAATACTAAATAATCATATTATTTGGCTAATTTTACCATGAAATATTTAAACATCAAAAACAAAAATCTTGAAATAAGCAATAAAATTTTCAATAAATTTTAGATTCTTTTCCAATAAAAATTTAGATTGAACAACCAAACGATGTAAATTGGACTCCATATTTAGTAAAATTTAGAAAAATGAAGTCCAAATGGATAAAGTTTTTTTTTGAAATTTATTTGGATCTAATTTTTTTCTAACATTCATGGCGATATTGCGGAAAAAAATGAATAAAACATGAAATAAAATTTATCACCTATTTTAATTTTAATCGTTTATGCAGCGAATTTCCAACTTCAAATTTCTACAATTTTGGCGAATTTAATATCAATTTTTTCGATATATCTGAGAAAATTATGTGAATAACGGCATAATGAAGTTTTATCAAGGCTGATCATCGGTGCTTGCGAGCACAAAGGCAAACACATTATTCTAAGGGCAACTGTTGAAGACCAGTTCGATGAAACATTTGCAGGGTAAAAAATTATGCATGAAAAAAAAATAAAAATATAGGCTTTTTCTTTTTCTGCTTTTTCCATATCATAAATTTGCATTTGATGTGAGCAATATTACTCCAACCTTTGATGATGCCAAACAGTAAAGAATTATAACTATTGATAATAAACAAGTAAGATTGTGGTGTAAGTGGCTAGCTTTCACCATTTCTGGTTAAACTAACTTCACTGGCTCTTCTTGACGATAGAAATACAGGTTGGTTCCTAGTATAAGCCGAACATTTTTTGGCAGATTTATTCCTGTCGGAGTAAAAGAACTCTATTTTATGGTCATTTTTTATTAAAGTTCTTCATTTTAAAACAAATTATGGTCAAAAAAATCTGATCTGTTCTGATGGTCGACAGAGATCCAAGTAATAGTGCATTCAGCCATAACAATGTATCGTTAATTGAATTTTATTTCGATGAAGTGGACGAGGAACGAGGTTGTTTTCGATTTTTTTGTTTCCATTTCATACAATCATTTTTTTTAACTATGTTAATCCTTTTTCATTTCGCTGCTTTGATATTTTACGGTCATTCTTTTTTAAAATTTCTTCGTTTTAAGACAAATTGTGGTCAAAAAAGTCCTTCGTCCGTATAATTTCACATTTCATTATTTATGATTTATTGTCGTTTAAGTATCAATGAATTGAATTTTAGCAAAATATGCGCAAAAAATTCTCTGACAAATTCCTGTTATTTCCGAATATTTTTCCTAAAAAACATTTCGTGCTGCAAGACAAATTAAAATTTTTCTTTTATCACTAAATCGCTTGAATAAATATTAGTGTAGTGTACTTCAATTTAACATCAAAATAATTATGCGATGTTTAATTTATTTGGGACCATAATCATACCCATCTTAAAATTTTAATTTATAATATAATACAATAACGATAATATTTATATTAGAAATTAGTTTATCTTGTTTAAGTGACTAACAACTATTAACGAGCAATTTCTGAAATTGGTGCTTTTACCTTTGGACTGTTTTTTATTTATTTTATTTATTGCTGCTTATTTTACTATATTATTGCTTTATTTAATGCATAATTTCTTGAACTTGAACTCTTTAACGAATTCACGAATCATCGAAAAAATGTGCTTTTTGTTTTTTAGATTATAAAATTACATTCGTGAATATTTTCTTGAATTGAGCACTTCTTTAAAAAAAAAAAATGATATATATGCTAGTTATGGTGAAAATTTCACATTATACATCGATTTAAAGGCAAAATTGGAAAAAAATTCTGATTCTATTTCTTTAAAAATTTTGTTTTTGTTGCTTTTTGATAAAATTGTTATGATATGAAAAGATTTTCTGTAATATACTTAGATACTTTTGCAAGCATCTCGTGGATATAATGGAACCACACACAAAAATTGAATGGCCAACTTTTATTCGGGGAAATAAGCACAGTCACAATGCTCCAAAAATGAGACAGTATTGTAAATGCGACTACTGTGGATTTCTTAACAGAGCAGAAGAAAGCTGCAAATTCCACTTCTAGTATCTCTTGGTTTTGAAATTGTCGATTAAAATATTGTCGTTCAGTTATATGGAGAGTACGGCAACCAGTATGAAATTATAAATTTCGCCCAGATGGAAGAATACGTTTGTTCAAGAAATGAAGTGACGCAAACTGGTGAGTTTTAAGTGGACTGCACGGCAAAAATTTATTTAAATTTTTAAGAAAGTATAATAATGAAAGATAACTAGAAGACTTCTTTTTGAAAAAAAGAAAAGAAATAAAAATTTATAAATTTCACCACAAAAATTAAAATTTATAAAAATAAAATTGCCATAAAATTTATAAAAATCAACTTTTTTCGTTTTCGTTTCCATAAGAAAATAAACAACACCACAAAATGAACATCTACTTTAAATATGGTGAAATACATAAAAAATCGAATAAAGTTAATAGGATTAAATAAATTATTAATCAAAAAATTCAAGTATTCTGACGTAAAATGGAAAGGAACCGTAATAAGCGGAACCGGAATTTTCAAACAAATCAAAAGAAAATATTGTATAACTTCGTCGTTTTATAAAAGCTAACTGACTGACAGAAAATGATTTCAATGAGCTCAGTAACCCTGTAGAACCAAAAAAATTAAAACGGATTTACAGGTGACGGACAAACGAATATGGATTTTAACAGCTACCAACAAACTCTAAAATTTTTAAAAATTTGCCCGCAAAGTTATTATTTACAAACATTATAAACATAATATTACAAAAAATTATAAAAATTAAGAATTACAAAAACAAAAAAAATATATGGCAGATTATAGATGCTGAGCAATTTCTTTTAAATTGCAATACATGCTTAAAATTATATGAGTTCCTAAAAAAACTGAAAGGAAATCGAAGTGCAATAAATTAATCTGAACTAGATTTTTAAGCAAATAAAAAAAGCATATCTTTAAAATGATTAATAATAAATGTGTAAAAAGTGTATAATTAATAGTAAACAGATATAAAATATATAGTAAATAGATATAAAATATGAAAAGTTTTTAAACGATTTTTGAATACTTTTGTTCACTTTTCATTCATATATTCATATATTCATTTTTTCATCTTTTTCATTGACACGCCACTCGACTGACTTTTCCGTTTAAGACTTTTCTTCTTGGCACAATTATTGCAATACCAAGGCACTTCAGCAGGCGGTGCCAGCACTAATCCGACGCAGCTCCTGTAAAACATTAATTCCGATAAAGACAAAATAAAACTTCCAAGTCAACGAGAATAATAAGAACATACCAATGAAACCAGTTATCACAATGATCACAACAAACCATATCACAAGCTCCATCAACATAAGCAACTGAACATACTGGACAAATCCAAACATCCAACGAGTCTTCACTATCAGGATGAATTGGATATGTACCGGTCTTAATTGTTATAAGATCAGTAATTTTTTCAAGATAATCAAGAAATTTGGCGAACATAATAACGATCATATAACGAAAAAATCAGAATTCTTATATCTTTTACTTTTGCCCTTCACTTGAATTTTGAATTTTAAATTCTTTGATAGATTAATCCTGTGCTTGCAAATTCTCACAAACTACATTCAACAATGAATCTGATATTAATTGTAAGTTATTTGAACATTTAAAGTTTACAATAATTTTATATCTTTGAAATTCAAACAATTTAACCAATACGAGTTCTTTACTTTTTCTATGTTCCTTTTCTTTTCGTTCTTTATCTTCGATTCACTGGAAGACTTTTCTGAATTTGAATTCAAAGCCCTTTTATCACTAACTTTCTTTGTGAACTCTTCAAACAATTATCATAAAAAGCTTTAATCAGGAGATTTAAAAATAAAAACTTTCGGGACTCCAAAATAGAACTAGAGAAAAAAATTGAAGAAAAATTAAAAATTCGATAGCTTGAAAATAAGAAAAGCGAAAATTAAGCTAGAAACTAAACGAATCCTTCAATTTAAATAATGAACGCACCTGAATGCGATTTGTGTTCACTTTTTTTATGCGAAAATGTATCGTTAAGCACCAATTTGTCTTTTTCGATGTGTTTCGATATTATTTCATCTGCTTTCTCACATTTCGTCGATTTTTCATCAATTTTATATTCATTTTTCTCTTTCAACTGGATTTGTTCCACGCTTTTACTTTGAAAAGCGTCTGCTTTCTTATTTCTTTCTTTATTCATTTCCTTTTCTGGGTCTTCTTTATTTTTTTCTTGTTTCTTCCTTTCATCCAAATTTTTTTTTTTCCCTCTATATCTCCTTTTGTTGCTAATGAATTCTTTGGCCAATTTCAACTGTTTCTTTTTAAGATTCTCTTTTTTATTTCCTCTCAATTGTTCTATCACTCCGACACCAATCACTTCGAATTTTTTTGCCTCTTCATCCTCTTCATTAGATCTGTCAGATAATCGCCGTTTATCGCCATAAGACGTTTTTCCTTCTTTGAATTGTTTTGCCACTTCATCCAGATTTTTACTTTCCTTTGAGTGAGAATGATGTCCACCTTCTAATCCCTTACTTTGCTTCATCTGTTCATCTTCATATGCCTTCTGATTGCTATTATTTTTAACTAGTTTTACTTTATCCTTAATTTGCTCATTCTTTTTCTGTTTGAATTGCTCCATATAATTTTCAGATTGTTTCCCTTCCACTTTTTTTATTTCGCCAATTTTCAGAGGTGATTTATCGAAAATTCTGAAAACAACTTGATATAAAGCAGTAGAATTAGAAAACTAAAATGATCGATAATTAACAATGATTAATAACGGCGAATTAATATTTAATAAACTAAAATAATAAACTAAAAAAATTTAGCACATAAATACATATTTCGAAAAGAATTTAACTAACATCCTAAGTGATGAACTGCTAACGAAAGGTGATAAATCTTTTTTTGAAAATTTTTGCGATATTTTACACTGAAACAATAAAAATTAATTACGAATTTTTTTGAATACATTGTTTACCACAATTTTACCACAATTAACAAATTTTTTTTAGAAAATAATTTATTTGAAAATAATTTAACCAGATTATTACAAAAAATAACCTCAGTTTTGACGGATGATGACGAATGTTTAGTCTCTTTCCTTTGATCTTCCCTCCTCTGAGATATTAATAATGGCTGAGCAAATGATGCAGTTCTTTTAAGAAACGCTGAAGATTCAGTTGATACATTTTTTTTCGTGAAATCTTTTGTCCCCCCATCGTGTATTGAATTTTCAACACTTTTGGTCGCACTTATCACTTTTTTTGAAGAAATGGTTGCACATTTCGCTTCAGAAAATGCTGCGGCAGAAACCAAGGATGAACTGAAAAAACGATGACTAGTCACAAAAGTTCATGATATGAAATGATAATCGTCAAACTTTCTTTCCCTTTTTTTAGCATATTATTTTTTATTAACAAAATAAAATAACTTGAACATTTGATATTTTAAATCAAAACTTACTTACTTATGAGGAGCTACTATTTTAGATGAGACTGGATCCTTGCAAACTGAAGTGTTATTGCTCACTGGTGTTAAAATATCTGAAGGTGACGCTTGGAGACAACCAGAAGCACCAAATTTTATTTTTAATTTAGGGATTTTCATTAAAGATTCATCGGGTTCTATAAAAATAAAAATTAGAAATAAATCTATCTTACTGAAGAACTTTGCCAAAAAATTCAATTCAAATTTAATCTTAAATTACATTACCTGCTTGAAATAATTTTGATTTGGGAAATTCTTGGGCTTGCCGTCTTTTTCCTTTGTCTTTTTCCTTTTTATGTATTTTGCTCTTACCTTTATCTTTATGCTTATGAGAATGACCTTTTTCTTTTCTTTTATCCTATAATATTCAAATAGGATCAATAGAGATCGAAAAGAAACTCAAAATTTTTGTAAAACTGAAAATTCAGAAGAACAAATTAACAAACCTTATACTTTTTCTTTTTAGATTCTTTTTCAATATTATCCTTCCGGCCACCTGAATAAAATGCATGTTTTGTGGGAACAATTCCAGTTGAGGAAGCATTTTCAACACTGTATGGAACATCGCCGATAGCCACTGCATATAGGCTTGCATGAAAACGCACAATAATTTCAAGCGACAAATAATTTACCTTTAACTGCCGTTGAAGAATATTCTTTTTGGAGATTAGTTCTCGAAAGCACCATTTTTATTTTTGTTGTACCTACTATACAAAAAAAATTTAGAAAACAAAAGAAAATAAAAAAAGAATATATTAAAAAAGAAAAAAAAGAATAAGTGCAAATGTCCAGAATGTAAGGAATTTTCATTAAAAGTTTAAAAGAAAAGTAATCAAAAAAATTAAACAAAATTTAAATTTAATTCATATATATATATACAATTTACCAGTAGCTGAATGGATAGTTGAAGCAATTTGCATATTATCATATTTGGCACCAGCTAAAACCGAAGAATTTTCATGTGGATCCTCTCGTTTAACTGTTTCCTTCCTACTATTTTTATTAGTTGTGTCCATTTCTTTCAATTCTTTCTTGTTACTCTTCGCATCCATCACAACTTCACTTTGCTCTTTATTCAAATTTTTATTCTTGCAATATTCAACCATATCATCAACAACTTCAGATTTGTAATTACCACAATTCTCCCTGCAAAGAAGTGTAAATTATTTTAAAATCATATTCCACTTTAAAAAAAATTTTAAAGTAAACTTTCACTTAAATTTCATAAACTTGAAAAACATAAACTTAAATTTCTCACTTAAATTTCCCTTATTTATTTCGAATTGTGAGGAAATTATTTTTGAGAACTAATGGTTAAATTTTAAGATTGTAGCATTGAAATGAATCATTTCAACAGCTCTTTCATTATTTAAATAAAAAGGAAATGTCAAATTTCATCTTTTTAAAGCATTTAATTTTATTTTTTAAATTAAAATTAAAATCCCTAATTTCCCTAATTTATTATACAAAATCTATATAACAACAATTAATTATACAAAAATTTTTTAGAAATTTATTGACTTTAATAAACGATTAATTTTATCAACCGTATTATAAATTTCATTATATTAAACTATGGTGTTTTAAACACCTATTAGCTATTCATTAGTTAACAATAAAATTGATATTTACCAATTAATATAGCACAAATACATAAAATTGGATGGGGACAGGATAATCAAGTTTTTCAAGTTTGCTTCAACTGAATCACATCATTAGTTTGATTCGTCATTAAAAGCACGAGTGTAAAGTGAGTGGAGAGAGAGACTTACAAGAATCCCTATTACCAAATTCTTTGGCAGTGGAATCTTATCCTAGCAATCTGCCAAACCAAATGTATCAGCATTAAATAATAGATAAATTCTAAATGAAATTAAAAAAGGAAATAGGGAAAGATTCAAAAAAATAAGAAAGATAAAAAACCCTGTAAGCCAGTAATAAAAAAAAAGACTAATATAATCTTACCCATAATATTATTTTATGGCAAATTTTATAACAAAAACATTTTTATACAGAATATTGCCTTTTAAATATTGATTCAGGCTCGATATGTTTGAGGTTCGTTTCTATAACATCGTCTAAATTTGTTAAATCGAATGATTTGGTTGAGTTTTCTTTTCGATCACACTAAAAAAAAAATAACTGAATTAAAATCGATTCACCAAATTTTTTTGAAAAATTCAAAGGTGGTAAGGAAAATAAATCCAAAAAAAATTTACTTCAAATTTCAATTTTTCCAGCACCACATTCAGCATTGGCACAGATGTATCGATAAAGCTGAAATATTCATACTAAAATATTAATAAAGCAGCAAAGAACAACTTCACTCCTCTTAATAATGCATAATTTAATAAATAATCCTATGATAAGAATTACTTTTTCGAATTATATTTTAAAAATACCTTTCCCTTTCTGTTAAGGTACTCACTGGTAATCTTTCAGTTAAAGATGAAGATGGCGAATTTCTTGTAACTGAAAAATAATGTATGTATTTTGGATACTACATACATACGAATATTATATACTTTTATGCATATTTTTATTTATATACTTATATGTTTAATAGACTATAAGAAATCTGAATAATTATCCTAATACTAAGCAAAAATATCTATTGCAACGACCAACATAGAAAAAAAAGAATGAAAGTCGCACAATAATAATGGGCATTTAAACTTGAAAAAATGAAAATAGACAGAAAAATTGATGGACCTAGAACAAATGTAAAAAATCTAGGCTTAATCCTTTCCAGTGGCAGCAATAAGACAGCAAAACTGGACAGATTAACTGGACAGAAATAAAAAAGATTAGTAATTTTTTTATATTATATTTAAAAACAGCAGCCTTAGGTGTGAGGAAATGCAAATAAATAATGCTAAACAACGTATCAGCAACTGCAGCGAGAATCAGACTCAAAGTCAATGTAAATAAAACGAAAGTCTTTTCACTATTACAAGAAGCTTTTTTTACAAATTTATAAGCGATTTTTACAAATTTATAAGCGATTAAGAAAGTGTCCAATTTCAAATATCTTAGATCCACTCTAATACCTGAATGGTTAGGCAAAAAAAGATATTACAAATAACGGCAGCTAGAAGTAGTGTTCTTCCGGTTGATGAAACTTTTATGCAGCTATCGTGAAATCACCATAAAAACGAAAGTCCGCATCTATATAGCCGCGATTCGTTCGATTTTGCTATATAGCTGCGAGACATGACCAATGAGAGCGAAGGATATTAAGAAGAAGTTATCTACCTTTGACTATTCATAGATACATCTTATGGGCCCACCGAGCGGATTAAATCGTACATGACTGCATCAATTCTTGCTCAAATGCTACTTTAGCAGCACCATCATAGAGCGTCGCCTTCGCAGGTTAGGACACGTTCTTCATCGCCCACCACAAGAGTTGACACATATTTCGTTATTTAATAAACTCTTTCATTAGTGGCATCAAAAGAGAGGTAAGCCAATCAAGATCTGGATTGGTACAGTCAGGAAAGATTCTGAACGTATAGATGGGCCAGCAATATACGGACTTAAACGATGGAAAAAAGAATGATTTCTATTATTGTCGACGATGGCGTCACACCAAGCCGCTTGGAAACGTGTTACCTTTGTAGTCAGTGGAACCAACCTGACCAGCAGCCTTAAGTATATATTTCTAATCTCAATTATTGCTGAAAATTATTTTTTAAAATAAAAGTTTCCTAAGAACCAATGCTAAAGACTAATGGCAGTATAATGGCAGTAAAGAGCAACATAAATGTGAATATAAATCGTATTCAAACTTGAGGATCAATATTGAAATTTAAGATTAATCTTCAAGAACTAGACGTTATATTTCATCATTATTATTTCGTTATTATCATTTTATCATTAAAATTAAATTAAAATTGGCTTTCGTTCTACTCGACTCGCTTAATATCTTCCTTTAGCGTCAAACGATCTCGTGTCCCATCCCTTAATATCGTCTAAGCTGATTATTTTGCTTTTATATAATATCTCTATATCTCCAAAATATTTCTTTGCTGAATTCCTATTAAAATTGCT